TTGATCTTGTGTACGGCACACAAGTGCACTCAATCCTCCCCTTACAAGAAGCGTCCACAAGCTGACAGACAATGAACGCTCACTTGAATTTGGAACACGACCACGCCGTTAAATGCCGCGAAATGCCCGGCCAAAACAGCTTCATCATGTCGGCCGCAGGGTAGCGCTGCGGCCGCTGATTTGCACGCTTTCATTTGCCGGTGCCGTCGGTTAGGTGTGCGTGTTCGGAGCCCGTATAGGCCGGCTGGGCGCACGACCGACAGCCACAAGCAACGCTCCCGTGTCCGATTAGAGGCGGCGCTTTCACACCGAGATTGCCGCAACTGCTCTGATGAATGGGCGCGCCCCACACGCCGGTACACGCTGATGACAATAATGAAAAGGATATCTATCAATGCTGGCGTCGTAACTCACCCGACACTCTGTAATGCGGTTGCCGGAACTGCGGCAGACTCGCCGCAGCCGCCGCAAATGGCCGCCGCCGGCGGCGTCTCCGTGACGCGCTGGTTGACGCGCTTGCCGCTCCACGACTGCCGCAGCCGCAGGCCGCATTCCACGACATGGTGAGACGCATCCTGTTTGTAAACTGCGCAATGTCAAACGCAGGCTTGAGCAGAAGCGTGATTCCATTTGCACTTCTTTACAGACGCCGTAATCGCCACATTTCAGATTTTCGGGCGAGTTTGTCAAGCATTGTACGCTTCCCTCCGGTCCATTCTAGTTTTCATGTATTTTAGACTTGGTATCAAATTACGTCCCCCAAATGACGTCTAGAGAACGCTTGCGTAAAAAGGCTTATACGTATTGCACAGGTATTGGACATTGAGGGCGTGAGTAGCTTCACGTCATGTTTCCCTCCTATTTCAATAAACTATGCGTGGTATGCTTGTTATGCATTATTTATTACGAGCGGGGTCAGGCCCTGCTTCGGACACGTCACGTCGGCATTCGGCAAGATGCCGTGCCAGCGGGCCGGAAAACTGCATGTCCACCTTACAGTGATTCAATATCATTGGTACCAACGCACATGATGAATTTACGCTTAGCCCTCGCCCTGGTATGGGGGGGGGGGGTCAATGTGACCCTCACACTTGAGATTTCTGAGAATACCTTTCCGACATGTCGTGCAATCGGGTCCAAAATTTTCAGCAGCTCATAGGGCATCAAATACGCGTTTTTTGACATCAGACACATGTCGCCAGCATTTCTGGTTTGAGAGCAGCGATGTCCTTTTTGAGGTACGCTGCACGGCGACCCACGGCCGGCGCGGGCGGCGGGCTGCAAGCGACGAATTCGTGTAGAGCATGCGGCGAGCCCAATAGAGCCATACCCAATGGAGCCATACATCATGACCGGCGCCACCATTATCATCATCGTTTTCATATATTCATTACGAAGCGTTCACTATTAACACCTGATGTCTCATTTGAGCCAGCGGGCTTCATGTTGTGCGATAGAAAAGACGATGCGACGTAATTATGGTGCGATGCGCCGACGTAACATAAGTGATAACGCCCCACAAAAGCAAACACTATCCTCCGTGTACCATTTACGAAGTCGAGACATGGACACAGCGCGGTCCCGAGAGGCCACAACGGTCGGCGGCAGGCGGCTCTAAAACGAAGCGCACAGAATGACAACGCCTTGCACGCCAGTCTAACAGTCTTCCTCAGTCTTTCCGGCTATCTAAGCTGAAGAGTGGGCAGCCCCAAAGCGACGGCCACCGCCGCCTACGTGACGCGCCGACGAACAGCGGTGCGAGGGGGGGGGGGGGCAGCGACCAGACTGCCATCGGGGTGCAGGGTCGTTTGGAGGCTGAAGACGCCGACGTGGCCACAGCGTGTACCAAGGTCACTCATGTCGTGCCAGCCCAGCAACTGCATGGTCCCGATCAAGCGTGGTCCCGGCCCCGCGCCCATGTCATGGCCCAGGCTGCGAAACTCACCTTTTGCACTCAATTGACATGCAGCAGGCAGCGGCCATACCCCAGCCAGAGAGACAGTGCAAGATGGGAGGGAAAACACAAACTCCGGTATAGAGCTTGTAGACGTAAAATGGGGACGAATCTGATACTAATATACACAAAACTGGTTGGAATTGGAGCTCTTCTTTTTGGATGTGCTACTTGCAGGACAGTGCAGGATCGAAGATAACTCCCAGCATCTTCACGGACGGCGAGGAAATATGGAGTTGGAGTTGTTAAAACGAAAGGATGCCTTTTTTTGCTGGACCGGGGCGTCCGGTGGACGGTGGCCGACGGCTCGTTGTAGCTGTCGTCTCTCTGGCTGCCCATGTCGCGAAGGGCATTTCTATGTCGTGGGGCCCATCCTTGGACTGTAGCCGCCTGCCGCCAACCGTTGTGACCCCCCAGAGTAGTGCCGTGTTCATTTCGATACTTGACAGATGAGACGTTGAGGGAAGTGTTTGCCCTTGTGCGCTCTTCTTAGGTTCTTAGCGTATTTTCACCATGGCTGCATCATCTCTGGCATCGCGTAACATGTCGCCTTTTGACTCGAAGCAAGCATTAAGCCATCTATGTCTATAATCGTTCATAATGAATGCCTGACAGTGGTGGTCGTTATCATGATGGTGGTGACCACGGTTAGAGTTCTACTGCGGCACGCCGCCATCACGCGGTGTGATTTAAGATACCGTTCATGGGCGACAGCAGGACTAGCAGACATTGAATGTGGAGGGTCTGCGAATAGTCGCCTGTCTTTTAAGCCCGAAGGCCCGCAATGAGCGGGTTAAAGCAACTCAAAAGTGTCACCTCTAGTCCAGAACAGGTGACGGTGGCCCTTAGCAGATTCGGTTGTCGTCATAACGACGATGTGGCAGTCGCGACATTTGCAGTTGTCACGGACTACGGCTACACTCTGGGGTTGCCAAGGAGGAAATAAAGGTAATGCTATCACAAAATGTTGACTGCGCAATTTGAACGGGAAAATAATAAGAACTAATCTCCTCATTACATCTTTGTGGCGCAGAAGTGGTACTACCCAGTGCTGTTATTAGTCATAACTGGTCCTGAAGCTCTTACCAAAGTATGTTTTTGAAATATGCTCCAAAGGTGGGGCATTCTCTCTAACGATTGTCCAATTACAGCTCATTCTAAAAGATATCTCCAGAAATGGGGAAATCAGTGGCTGTGAAGCGCAAGTGGCAGTCAAAGCCGCTTCTCAGCGACTTCCACGCCTTTGACGACCGCAATTACCCGACCCTGGTGGATTTCAAGCACGTGAATTACAGAGCGTGCAGCAACTCTGCACGCTACTTGCAATAGCAAGGCGATGCTCTTTCAATGTTCTTGGAGGAAAATTGCATGAATTCTTCCAGGCAGAAAACATCCCTGTTACGGATGCTTTGCGTGGTCGTACCACGTTCATAACAAGGCGAAGTTTTTAATTCTTTTCTATAGCCTAGGTCCCGTTATGTTTGCACTGAGAATACAAAATGTTAGCCAAAGGGTCTCAAAAACGTAACATTTTTTATCGAAATGATTTGATTTGCGTCTAGATCTTGTCATCCCCTTTTTAACTCCTTTTTAAAATAAATGTTTTGCTACTGCCACCTGTGCCGCGGCTATTTGTCACCAAGCATCACGCATTTTTCCGCGTTGGCTTCACCTGGTTATGAGCACTGCATGCTGGCAATCATTTTACGTTATAAACAGCAATATGGAGGCGTACTTGTGTAACAAACACTGCAGTGGCCACACGACGATTGTTAAGTGAAATAGTCTTGTCCCCCCCGCGCTCGCGCCCGGCAGGAGAAGTTCAACCGCTTGTCTCATAAGCAGTGGCAATATTTAATGTATAGCAACGAGATCATTTTCCTGGCCACGCCTCAGCGCCGAAGTGTTGATAACATGTAATCGGGTGTGTAACGGGTGGGGACAATTGATTTGGAATGGTTAGCTGCTGGGTATGGGCACATTCCCATGGGGAACAGGTGGATTGAGTAAAGGAAAACTAACCCATGAAGGCCTCCGATGACAGCTATCAAAACGGAAGTAAATGATTTATTGATCTCGGGATCGACCATTAACTGCAGATTGGAAACGTTGTCTTTTCGTATCGACAAGATCACTAAAAATATGAGTTCGAGGCACCAGCGATGACCTCTGCATCTGCGGGCGCTCGGAACTCCAAGCGGCGAATTCGAAGCACTCAGAAACCCGAATACATTTGCAACTGAAGATAAAAAGGCCCAGCCAACTTATCGCCGTCCAAACGGCAGAAAACGACAGCCTATCAAGAACATTCTTCTATGGTCGTTTCTTTTTCAATTTCGCAGTTGGCATTGGCCCAACTAGCGTTATTGATTGGCCTCCCCGTTGCCACCTACTTTACCTCTAATTCCATCACAAGTGAGTGTGTATTCCTCAGTGTGCGTTTCACACCACGATGAAGAACCGTCGCTGAATAAGAGGAGTGAAATCATTCCTGCATCGACGAGCGCACTGATGTGTCCTGAGCACTCCCATGCGTCCAGTGAAGAACGCTTCTTGTTTCCATCAACAGAGGTCATGCATGTGGTGCTACCGCGAGAATGCGCCACCATTCACAACACAACGCATAAAACGCAATGAACCACGACGACGAAAGATAAATCATGCAGGGTCCTTGATCAAGGGACCAGGACATTGCAGCTAGCCCGACAGACGTCAGGAGCAGCTATCAATGCCAGCAGGTCCACGTCTCTCATCTACAGGTTAGCAGCTGTCCATGGTCGGTGGTCACGCGGTCCATGTCGTTCTAGGCATAATCAAACCATCAATCTAGCAAACCACCAAGGCTCGGTCATGAAGTACAATCACATGACACCATTGCCCCTACATGCCATGATAGGCATGCCAACATGAGGGCTGGCCGTCTAAGTCTGACACGTGGACTATGGTGTGGGTTTTCCTATCCCCCAATGCAACGGACCCGATGATTCCAGAATTATCAGTCCGAACGCTTGTGGGCAGCTCGGCAACCCCAGAAGTGGGATTATTCCGCGCCGCAGTTTGCGGTCAGGTTTAGCCAAGGCTCGGGGCTGGGCCGCACTGGCAACAAACACTGCCGTCACGCCCGATCTGTGCCACTTGTTATCACAAAGTACGGTGCGTCACGCGTGACGGTACATGTCAGACTCTTGCATATCCCCACTGACCCCGTGTCAACACTTGACACCGATGACGACGCATTCACGCGTTCTGCGGGTGACACCAGTGCGAGAATACACACCGGCTGGAGCCGATTCTAGTCGGCTACTGGCGTCTGCCCGTACTCTCGCTCACTTCGGAATTTTCTGCCTTGGGTTTTCCTGAACACGCCGGAGTCGACGCGGCTCAGAAGCTCTCTTAGGCACTTGCTCGGTGAAAGCTGGACCGCAGAAGTCGTCGGCACTTGGACAGTTCTTCCCGAAGCTCACAGTATTATGCACGTTTTGGACTGCAAAGACAACGGTGTAAGCGCGATGGTTTCCCAGGACAGTGATGCACGCAACAGCTGTACCTAACGTTTCAAGAATCGTAAGGTTTTAGACACTCATCGTTAATGTACAACCTTGCAGAACTTGTCTTCCAAGTTAGCAGCGAAGCACGGCATGTCGAAGTGTGCCACAGGCATGCCGAGAAGTGTCATGGTAGATCGCACATACATATGTATGTTCCAGATGCATGATCTCGTTCACAATGGTTACAAAACACCTTTTAGCAAGCAGGGACCGCTGCCGTCACATGAAGAGCACAAGTGCTGCCGCCTGCCTCGCGGAGAAATCGACACCTTATGCCGGTGTTTATTGTGATGTAAAGGTTCGTGTAACCGGGACAGGCGTATGAGCCCGTGTCTGCTACGTTTGAGGCGCCGCACATCCGTTTTTTCGGGAAGTTTATTGTGCCAAAATGTAACGCGCCATTTCATAATACGTGATTGTAGCTGAAGGCGATTGAGCGATTCCGGTGATGGAGCCCTTGAGGTGCGAAAATAAGTTGCGTGACATTTTACCATAAAGCGGGTATTCTACATTCGTATTAAATTTTTAACTTTAAATATTTAACTCGAAGATCATGCAGTGTAGTTTCACAGCTTTGCCCTTCTTACGACCCAAGCCCCTCCAGTTTCTGAGCTGCACGCCTGCGAAGATGTGCAGACTATTTCGTGGAGACTGTTTCAAGGTCACTCAGGCATCCTCGACGTCATAATAACGTCATTAAAATCCTTCCCTTCCATTAGCCATGCGGCGGTCAGATAAAACAAAAAATTGTCGAATCGTTAATATCGGGTGTTCGTGAGCATGATTTCGAGACATAACGGCGATCAACTGACTCTCAGTCAATGTTGTGCAGGTACGACGACGTGATCAAACAATGATGTGCATACAGCATATTTACTTAACAGAACAGTCGTGTTATATAGAGCAGTCTTTTCCACTTAAAAGGATGCGAATAGTGATGACTGAGATTATCTCATCATATTTGATGATTTCTTAAATATCTTCAGCTGTTAAGCATCCCCTTCAACCCCATAGATGACTTCAAACTACTAAAGCAGGCACTTGTTGACCAACTGCCTGCTGAACACAAACAGCTCCAAAGACAGCGGGCGCTTCGGCACTCTCTCGGTAATAGCCCACGCCTTAGCCCGCCACCGGGGCGCCGTGGCGTACCTGCTGCGGCGGTTCCGGCTCGGGTACCGGTGACAGGCTGCGTGGACCCTGCTCAGCCGGCGCCGGAGAGGCCACCAGCCGCTCTGGCGAGCCGCTGGGCAGACCTGCTGAAGGGGAGCAACGGCAGTCAGGTCTCCAGGCCGGGCGCGCCGCCGTCGGCTGATAAGGTCACTAGGTGAGGTCATTTGGCGCGTTCGCCTGTGCGGTCATCAGGCGCGGCCCCTGGTGCGGTCACGTGGTGCGGTCACGTGGGTGCAGTCACTTGGTACAGTCACGTGGCACGGTCACGTGGTACGGTCATCTGGTGCGGTTACCTGGTGTGGTCACCTGGTGCGGTCATCTGGTGGGTTCATCTGGTGCGATCACTTAATGCAGTCACTTGGCACAGACGGAATCACCAGTATTAGGGGCCCTCACGGGTCGGGAAAAAATGAGAACCCCATGAAATGATAAACGGCTGGGTTTGCGAGAGACTTTGAGAAAAATTTGAATGTAGGGTCGGTTGGGTGTAGGTGCTTAAAAATGTCACGTAGCTGTTTTATGACACATCACAGAGTACTATTGCTTGTCGTTTTGTCGTCGTAACGAGCTTCTGTTGAATAACTTTCGGAGCAATTCGAGGAAACCGGTGAACCTGAAGACATAAGCTCCAGAACATTTGGCGCAATTTGAAGCCGCATGCTGAAAACTGGTAGCCGAGCCATTGGCATCAGGAGCGCGCTGGTATAGCACAATACAGATTCCACCGATAGAGAGTGGATTGTGCCTGGGCGATCATACCCTACCTGACCTCTACGCGGCACAAATCACCTGGTAGTCACCTGGTAAACGTCACCTGAAAGTGTGACCCGGCAACAGCCGCTGCACAGCTGCAGTTTTGGGGGCGGTGCTCACCGCGAAATGTGGCGCCCTCTGGCCGGCTCTCATCATCCGGCTCCTCCTTGGGCTCCTTGGGGCTGTCCAGACTCACAGCCTCGTGAGCGGTGGGAGTTTGAGACTTCCTGAATCTGCTGAACAGCTTGGATAATGGGCTGCAGCCTGAAACACAGCAGCCATTTACGTTACTTAAGACGTTCAGAGGAGAGGAGAGAGGAGTGTGGGAGAGACAGAGGAGCGCAGGACCCCAGAATGTCGTACATGCTCCTCTGTAACTTGCACGTGTCCATTCAGCCGATATTACGGCTTAACACTAGCCGTTTCCTTTGCAGTCGTTGACTGGTGCCAACAATAACATAGACAACCGGAAAACCAAGACTAACCAGAAAGCTTAAAACTCGCCTTTTCCATCTTCGGTGACGGTGGTACCAGCGCCAGTTAACGGTCTTTCATTTGTTCTCTGAAATGAACGGGAAAATGAGCACGCTTTCACGGTAGTGGGGCCAATAGTCAAAGCTACGCATCTTCCGAAATCACGTCGGACACAGAACACCAAATAAACTAGCACTGCTGTCCGTTTTTACCGAGGATCAAAAGAGCTACCGCTTTCTCACATTAATCCACGGCACATACATCACCATATTGCAACTCAAGGTCACGGTTACATGCATTAATGTCCTATTATCTGACTGCAGCACACAAAATTGCTTTAATTTCATCGCTTAAGTGGATGACACCATAAGCAGCGGCGGCCCGTCTGACCTGGCCGGTCTGCGGGCGGAGGTCGGAGGACGAGTTGACCGACTGCAGGTCAGCAGCGTCCCGCAGCTGGAGCAGGCCACTGTGCAGGCGCGGCTCCCCCTCCTCCTGACTGAGCGACGGCGATATGCGTGGCGCCCCGCGCAGCGGCGGCAGCACGCGACCCACCGGCAGGGTCGACTGCGGGCCGGACAGAACAGCGGAATATCACGGCAGGGTCAACTGGGGTGCCGCACAGGACAACAGGTCATCACGACAGGGTCGGCTGGGGGCCCGACAGGACAGCGGGTCATCACGACACGGTCGACTGGGGGCCGGCAGAACAGCGGGTCATCACGACAGTCTCGGCTGGGGCCGGACAGAACAGCGGGTCATCACGACAGTCTCGGCTGGGGCCGGACAGAACAGCGGGTCATCACGACAGGGTCGACTGGGGGCCGGCAGAACAGCGGGTCATCGCGACAGTCTCGGCTGGGGCCGGACAGAACAGCGGGTCATCACGACAGGGTCGACTGGGGGCCGGACAGAACAGCGGCTCATCACGACAGGGTCGACTGGGGGCCGGACAGAACAGCGGAATATCACGGCAGGGTCAACTGGGGCCGGACAGGACAACAGGTCATCACGACAGTCTCGGGTGGGGGCCGGACAGGACGGTGGGTCATCACGACAGGGTCGTCTGGGGGACGGCAGAACAGCGGGTCATCACGACAGGCTCGGCTGGGGGCCGGACAGAACAGCGGGTCATCACGACAGGGTCGACTGGGGGCCGGACAGAACAACAGGTCATCACGACAGGGTCGGCTGGGGGCCAGACAGGACAACGGGTCATCACGACAGGCTCGGCTAGGGGCCGGACAGAACAGCGTGTCATCACGACAGGATGGACTGGGGACAGGACAGCGGGTCCCTTCCCAGACATTATCGATCCTTCTCAGACATTATTGGCTCATTCCCAGACGGCCATCCGCTAACAACGTCGCCCTGCCGTCAATAGCAAATTTGTTGATTAAACTAGAAGGCAAAAATATCATCTATGCCAATGGCAACACCTCGTGAGTAGGGTAACAAGCAGTTCATTTATTGCTCCTCATGGATCGCGTTTACTAATCAATGGGCTGGCGCCGGACTTCCAGGACGTCCAGATCGAACCTGTGCTATTCTCGCAATGACACCGAGTGAGACAAAGCACGGTTTACTATCGATTCCGCCGTCCCCAGCCATGTATACTCCGAACAGCGCATTCCGGCCTGGTGCTTGGTGACGTGGAATGTCGCATGCCTGGCCGCGCAGTCTGTGCTCGGCCCCGCGCCCACCCGCGGCCGGCGAGTTGCCTCCGCGTTTGTGCTTCTGACGCCCGAATGGCATAGATCGGCCCAGGTAATCCTTCCCCGGTGATTGCCAGCTAACGTTCCCTCGGACATGGCTTTAGGCGAATTGGGGGCAAAAAATGCGATCAATGCCGGCTGGCGGACCACGAGCGGCTATTGCTCGCATGGGAGCCGTGACGTTGTCTGCCGGCTAAAGCGTCTGCCAGCCGCGTCACGAACGTGGAGCGGTGAGAGTGCGTCGCGTGACAAAGAGTAGCGTGACACGCAACACAGAGTGACGTGAAATGCGTGGGAGCGTCGGTTTGATGTCCAGGGCGCCTCCTGGTCTCATGCCAGTGATGGACCCGTCCCCAAAATTATGCTGTCAATGCTTGCGACACCATCCATTTTGACGAGAGTTCATCAGCGAGCCAACGACGCTTTTACGCATTGGTTTGATTGTCATAACTACTGAAGAAATTAGATCAGAAGCGTAAAATTTTCGGTATTCTAGCTGTCTCCTCTATCTCCTCTCTCTCTCTACTCTCTCTCTCTCCTATCCTCTCTCTCTCTCTCTCTCTCTCTCTTCCTCTCTCTCTCTCTCTCTCTCTCTCCTCTCTCTCTCTCTCCTCTCTCTCTCTCTCTCTCTCTCTCTCTCTCTCTCTCTCTTCCCCCCTCTCTGGGCCCGAACCTTGTTGACTACGACATCCTAGGCCTTGCTAGATTGGCGCTATCAACTCAATAGTGGGGAGCAAAATTACATTTCTCTCTGTTTTGTCGCTCATTCCTTCGCACCACTATCTGCCCCCCCCCCCCGCCCCCCCGGTGGTGGGCTCTGGTACAAGGGGAGAGGGGATAAGTTTTTCGTTTATTTCAAACCCCACATCGATGATGTATGAAAACAAATCCTTTGATGATCACTCCGATGATCTGATGATCTCTCAAAAAATAAATGATCTCTAGCCGAAGCTTCTTGCCCCTTATGTCATCTGTTTGTTAAGTTTCTCCTTTACGATGCCCCAAAAGATATGTCGACACAGGGAGAGCTATCGCTGGATGAGCGTCTTTCTCCTCTACGTGGGCCGAGGCGGCACGTTCTCTGCAATAAAAGAAATGAAACACCAGAGGAGAGCCGAAAGTGGCTTCGAATGGACGGCGCGCCAATGCGTCGGAATAGTGCTACCGGACACTAGTGCAAGTAAACCTTCATAAGTGAAACGAGGGTAACATTCTAAAAGGTGTATTGCTAGGCCTCCGTTGTGTGTAGTGTGTAGTGTGTGTAGTGTGTAGTGTGCAGAGTGTTTTGCAGCTGTCCGGAACACCGCACTGTGTGGCGTAAGACAAACTGTACAATATTCTGATATGATTAAATAAGGTATCATCTACACGAGCATGATGAGCAAGCAAACACGATGTGTGGCAGCAAACCACACGGCGCTGTTAAGGACCTGTCAAACTACGTCCGATAACGGCTGTGGTAACTGACAATATATCAAACAAGTTCATAAAGGTAGCAAAAGTTCCTCTTCAAATTCTGTACTTGATACATCGAACAAAGTTTGAACTCGGATCACCACCTACAAATATCTTGCGGCGTAGTGGGATGCGATAGGGCAAGGGGTCATGTAGTATGATACAATAAGGCAAATTAAGATCGGACACTGCAATGACAGACATGTTATGTGACAGCTACATGCCAGCAGACGGCTGAGAGATAAAGGTCACCATTATGGCCAGCGAAGGAATGTCCTCACTATGTCCTCACTGTCCTCATGAATGTCCTCACTCATAGCTATGAACGATGTCAGGCGCTCATGATGCATTTGTAAACACTGTCAACTTGCTCGACGTCACTGCGCTGTGTTTTACATTAAGCATGGTCGCAGTTAACTGGGGATCCACAAGGAAAAAGCACGGTTAAGAAAACTGCTACAGCTGACTGAAAGTGTAGGCTGACAAAGTACTGCGTCCTTGTCCCCGTGTTGTGATATTTAGGCACGTGAAACAAGCCATAGTAATATCGTGCAAGAAGTAGATTGCTGCCAAATTGCCTGCATAATTAGCAACCACCGGCACACAAAAGTGACTTTAATAGCGTGGTGCAACATTTCTAGCAGATAAATAACGGGCCCAACATTTTGAGCCTTGTGCGACGGTGTCTCACTGTGCCTTTCCAGTTGCACCGTAGTCAAAATGCAGCTCTTACATTGGCCTCGCCAAGCTTGCTGCGGTCGGTGCTAACGACGATCTCTTCATGAACGTGCAGGCCGTTGGTGAGTGGCGGCAGGTCGCCCAGCATCCTGAAGGACTTCTCCCGGTTCACCACAAACATCGACCGTCGGCCGTCCAGAGAAACCTGCCGACGACCGCAGGCACCTGGTTGTGAGGCTCTACAACACTGAATGTCGGTGGGGGCGGAACATGGGCCTCCTACCCTTGAGGCCTTGCGGCACCCGTTCACGGGAGGGGAGCGGGGGTGAGCGGAAAGACACAGGGCGACTGATTGTGAGACTCTGCACCACCCATTACCAGGGGGAGCGGAAGGACACAGGGCGACTGGTTGTGAGACTCTGCACCACCCATTACCAGGGGGAGCGAAGGGACACAGGGCGACTGGTTGTGAGACTCTGCACCACCCATTACCAGGGGGAGCGGAAGGACACAGGGCGACTGGTTGTGAGACTCTGCACCACCCATTACCAGGGGGAGCGGAAGGACACAGGGCGACTGGTTGTGAGACTCTGCACCACCCATTACCAGGGGGAGCGAAAGGACACAGGGCGACTGGTTGTGAGACTCTGCACCACCCATTACCAGGGGGAGCGGAAGGACACAGGCCACCCGACTGTGGGGCTCTGCACCACCCATTACCAGGGGGAGCGGAAGGACACAGGACGACTGGCTGTGAGACTCTGCACCACCCATTACCAGGGGGAGCGAAAGGACACTGGGCGACTGGTTGTAAGACTCTGCACCACCCACTACCAGGGGGAGTGAAAGGACGCAGGGCCACCCGACTGTGAGGTTCTTCTTACCGGGGGAGCGGAAGGACACTTACCATCTAACTGATGGTCTCTAGGTGTAAAAGGACGCACTCGAGCCTAAGAGAAGGGAAATTTATCGATACTGAAAATAGGCAATCATGGTGGAGCATCCACACTACAGCACAAATTCCTCGAAAGTACACCGCAAACTGGTAACACACTGTACACAAAGAGGAGCTTTCCATTGGCAAAAAAAATCGGGGAGTTCACGATTCTGCGTCAGCCAGGGACTCTTGTACCATCGCAATGAGAGGTGTGACACTCCAGTCACGACTGCACGCTGTGCGTTCAGTGCCCACCAGTGGGTGGCAGCGAGGGCAACTCAGGCTGCATCACTCACGCTGGGGGTGCGCGCGAGGTGCAGCTCTCACTGCCGGCTTTGCTGTGAAGTCGGTCTGGTTGGGTTGGCGGGGCACGAGGTGCCGTGCAGTCGGTCCCTGACCTCGGCTGTCGTCCACTGACTGGCGACAGAGCAGATGGGTCTGACCTCCCAGCACACGGCAACCTGCAGCAGTAGCTCACCAAAGATGCTCTTAGGTATCAACACCTGAAAATGCTGACGCCCCTTCGTCCGATTAAGGCGCTCTTTATTGGCTACAAGAGCCTAAACGGCGAGGGGGCTGGGGGTGGCGGTACAACAGTGGACGGATGAAACTGAGCGTAGACAGCCAGATGTTTTACTCTTAGAAGGTGTCTCACATCGGCATAGAGGGGCGTCGCCCAATCTTGCTTAAAAATGCATTCACCATGGAAAGTGTCGAAGGTCTCCCTTTGGGTCTATCCCTGGACGGAGGCCCCATCCCAGCGATGGGGCGATGAGGGAGGAACACTTACAAACTTATGGAGGGTGCCACAAGTCGAGACAGAGGAGAGCCCACGAACCACCAGCCGGAAACGACTATAGAAGGACGCCCAAAGCCAACTTAAAAGTGTTCCAAGCCTATGCTACCTAGAGCCTAGAGGGACACTACCCAGCCAAGCTCGGGGTCTTCCAAGAACATTGGAAGATGGACGGCCCATGACCATGTAAACGACGTCCTGGGGCGCCCACGGCGGAGAGCTCCGAGTCTGGGAAGACGGATGACCTAGACACGGACAAAGGGAGTGTTGCACTTCTGAACTTTAAGTCATAAGTGCTGCAGAAACTGAGAAGGCCTCAAGCAAAGGCGGAGAAAACCTCTCAGGCTGAAAGTTGGATTGATGAGAAAATATTAGATGCCTTATGTAAAGAGCTATAGCTCTGTACTCACCACTTATTATAGTTGTTATTTGCTAAAAGGCGCAACACTTCAAAAGGCAAAGCAAAACGCCGCGATTGTAGCACACAATTTTCTACGAAAGTGCAAAGAATGGCTACGCATTGACGCACCCCGCCGACATCCTAAAAATGGCGAGTTTAACACGCGCTCGGGCGGAGGTCAAATTGACCCCCAAAGGTTTTTCCAGCATGGTTTCCGAACGGCGTGGCGTAGCCGCGCCGAATTTTGTCTGGTTGTAGACAATTGAATGGTAGATCTTTTGAAATAAACAACTATATGTATCTCGTAGGGTCGCTGACCTATGGCAGGTCGAAGTCAGGCCATGGTTTCAGCGACGGCAATTTCTAGCGAATCGTTCAGTCTGATCCAACAGCAGAGTGTTAGACGGAGCCATACATCTCTGATATACTTCCTTAGGCTACGCAACAATTGTGTGAGCAAATGGCACCGACCTAAGGTCAGGTATGAAGGTCATACCAAGGTCACAACCAACCTATTTATTTCTCTAATGCTTGCTATATGGGGCATCTTCTGGTACCCATTTTAAATTTATTGATAAAAGGAATCGCATTATACTCCTTCCATGGACTTCTTGATGGTCACAATAGGTTACTGACCTAAAATGACCCATGTCACATTTTGCTTTAGGAATATACTGCCTAGCGTAATCTTAATCGCTCATGAACATGCAAAACTAATTGCAGTCTTGTATGATTTTGGTCACCATAGCCTGCAAAAAGGTCAGACAGTCTCATTGACCTTAAGTAAGGATAATATTTTTTGCTTAGAACAGTTATCTAGGTTCTAGAGGTCCTTCAAAGACCAACCTGGGATTTGACGTTGTTTGACCCTATTTGTCTCAAAGATCATGACCTAGCAACCTCAAACTTTGACCTAAATGGCTTCACGTACAGGCCAACACATTCTATGCATTTGGTGTCTCCAGCTCTCTTAGTTTCCGAGACCTTCGAGGGGTGGGGTCAAATTGACCCCCACCCGAGCGAAGGGTATCGAACTGGCCACTCGGGCTTATGCTAAGTGTGCGCAATACCTGTGAAAAGAATGCCCCCGCGCAGACACAGTAGCGCACTACTACGGGTTCGTGACGCTGACAAATCAGGACCCGTGCGTCTATTTAGGGAAAGTCACCGGCTACAGGCGCCTTATTGGAGACGGGGGGCCGCAGCCCACTACACAGTTGCTTCTTTACTACATACGTTTTTATCTCCACCCTTAATGAGCCCACCCACCCTACTCTTCACGTTACGGGCGAAATGCACGTGAGGGCAAGCAAACTGTGCGACCTGGTAATGAAAAATATTTCTTGGAATTCTAAATATACAAAACTTATTTAAACCACTGATAAAAGTCAAGATAAAACACAAAGCATTATACTTTATGTTTTTGCAGCCTGTTGTACATCTTTCAATGTCCATTGACAAGGCAGGAGTGGACAATCATAGCGATGGCATCTCGGTGTAGGCAGGAAGCGTGCTAATTATTGCCAAAAAGCGCCAAGTTTGTGACAACCCGTTGCCTTATTTCTTGATGCATGTTCATATATATATATATATATATATATATATATATATATATATATATATATGTATATATATGATGCATGTTCATATATATATATATATATATATATATATATATATGAACATGCGGTCCATGTGGAACATGCGGTATATATTGCGGTCCTTGTTATGCTGTACAAGCATAATTCCCCCTTTGATTGAATATATCCTAACATTATCGATCGACGCCTTGATTGGACCGATATGAATAGAAAATTGATCAGGCGCCTGCTAGAATTGCATTGATAAAGTGGCCGACCCCCCCCCCCCCCCCCCCGAGTTTCAATTGGCCGAAGATTGCGTACAAATTTTAATAGACCACGGTGTCAAGACAGTAGGGTGAGCAGATAGGGCAGATGGCCTCCCCCACTGCGGGAAGGCTGGGAGGCAAGATTATTTTCACCTCAAGTTTTTGGGAGGCCTGTTCTGCTACTGCTAAAGGCTTTGTGTCAATACGCTAACAAATTTCAGAGCAAGAAGGCCTCCACAACTGAGATAGAGAGCAATAAATGGGACTAAAAAATCCCTTTCTGTATTAAGTGGCCCGTTATCTGGATCATGAGGCCATCTTCATGAACTGAGCAGCCTATACCCTAGACAGGAGGTCATACTTTCTGCTTAGCCCCTTTTCTGGCCCAAGAGACCCCGTTACAAACTAGCAGGCCCGTGTCCTGGGTTAAGAAGCCTCCTCTATATTCATGGCCATTTGTCTAGAACGGCAAGCCCTTTCGTGTATGCGATGGTCGCGGTTCTGGATCAAGATGTCCTGTTTTAGGACGCTTTAGGTTTAGGGTTTAGGGTTTTTAGGGTAATAAAATCCTTTGTTTGGTTTTGAGCCCCCCTGGAGGGTCGAATGAGTCCTGTTCTGGATAATGAGGCGATGTTTGCATGCTTGCCTTGTCCGGAACAGAAGGCCCTTTCTAGAATAGGGTGTCTTTGAGGGCTCACCAGACATCCCTTATTTTGGATTCTTAAATTGTCGACGTTCATTCACATAGATATGATACATAAGACAATTTGACAATGGAAGCATGCCCCGGCCTTACCCGCCCTGAAGGCGACACAACCCAGCAGGCTCTTGTGAGTAGGTCCTGTTTTGTCTGGGGAGTCTCCTGCAATGTGCTGGCCCGACTCAAAATCCGTAGTGCCTCTGCTGATATCTAAGCCATAATGTTCATGTTTGCTTCACTGTACACTTACATCTGCATTGGGCTGAAATACAATGATAGTTAATTCCGCGCAAAGTGCTTGAATACAAATGACAGCGGCGTATTTTGCGGTGAGATGGAGGGTCTGAACTGTGAGAAAGAACACAACCTATCCCCAAATACGCCAACAAACTGGTTTCTTCATGAAGCTGCATCCCGGACAGAAAAAAGTTTGTTGGGAGGGTAATCACTGGCATATTTGGCAAGGCAATATGTGTGCCTTTAACAGTGAACGCTTGGCCGGCAACACGCTAGCAATCTGCACTTGCGTTCATATCTGCGCCCAAACCAATGCCGATCCATTACATCTGCGAATCGTTCCTTTAAGTCCGTAAATGACAATCCAAAGTCTCACAAGGAACATCCTCGTAGAAGCAGCAAACCCAGAAAACTTTTAGTCGGCGGCAAGTTTCTAGCTGAAAAAAAAACAACAGCTGAGCTATTCCCGCTCTGGCATTCGCATTCAACCGGAACGCTGTTCACCACAACCTTGTCACCAAGAAGCACCAAGGCCGCCCACTCGCCTTCCAAAGGACCATGCAATCAACATTCAATTTTCTCCGGCGATCGATTTTGCCAGACGGCATGGCAAAGCTGATCGTAATGCAACAGACCCGTCGGTGGTAAATCTACCTGCGACCGCAGCTGAGTAGTCGTAAACAGGCCCGATGTCCACTGTGACCTCTGTCAGTCGGGCTGGCTGCCCCGCTGTCCACTGTGACCTCTGTCAGACGGGCTGTCTGACCCGACGTCCACTGTGACCTCTGTCAGACGGGCTGTCTGACCCGACGTCCACTGTGAGCTCTGTCAGTCGGGCTGTCTGACCCGATGTCCACTGTGAGCTCTGTCAGACCCGATGTCCACTGTGACCTCTGTCAGACGGGCTGTCTGACCCGATGTCCACTGTGACCTCTGTCAGCCGGGCTGTCTGACTCGATGTCCACTGCGACCTCTGTCAGTCGGGCTGTCTGACTCGATGTCCACTGTGAGCTCTGTCAGTCGGACGGGCTGTCGACGGTCGCTGCCGACAGGTTACGCCTCCGTTCTGGCTGGCAGTCAGAGCCGACGCCGCTCTCAAATGCACGGCCTGAACACAAACCCTGACCTGACCACCAGAAAACCGCCGTAAGGTGGCTCGCCAGGCAGTGCTGAGCCCCAGCAGGGGTTAGGTGCCTGCATAGCTCGCGATCCTAATCAAGTCATTGGAGCCGCCGCCAGGTGGCTGGGCAGACAGTGCTGAACCGCAGCGCGAATTAGAGCTGCAATGCACGCAGTCCTGATCAAGTCATTGTAGCAATGCATTGCTCAAACGATTCAAATACATTTGAATTGGGGTCTATGCTAAGGCTCCTCAGGGCGGTAGATTTCGCATGATCTTGGATTCGGCGGGACGGGCCATACTTTTTCATAGTCGATTATGCCCATGAGTTGCTTTACGGCTCATGTGAAACTTTCTCGAATAGTTGGAGGACCAAAACAATATTGCCATGTTAGGGAACAGGTGATGCTGTTCTCAGTGTGGCTTTCAACACCTGATGTTGGTTTATGACCTCCAAGACACTATTAAGGCCATAAACCACATTCCGTTATCATGAGCGCGCATACATAAGTTATAACGGCTAGGTTATCGCTAGAAAACTTTCAAAACCTTCTATCACCTCAATTTCCATCACGTTGCGAGATCCTTGGCTTCAGAGAATGGCATACCAGTGACCACGACGCGTTTCAACCTTGGCCAAAACGTGATCCGATGCGGCAATTCTAGTTACACTCCTGGAGCCATGCTTACACCCACATACCGAACTCCTTGGCGAGCTACGTACCCGTACCTGTACCAGTGCCCAGCCGGGCGCCGCTCACCGGCAGGTTCCACGGACGGGTACGTGGCAGGCCGCTTCCCCGCTAGCGGCACCAGTCACAGGCCACGCTGGCCGCTGGTCACCTGAGCACCGGGCTCGCCTTCGACCGCATCGCACTGCACCCGTTTGTGTATGTGACTGACGCCGCTAGCCGGTGCGGCCCACCACAGCGGTGTCGGCCAGGTATGCCGCCCATCGATCCCGCCGCGACCCCAGCCCGGCCCGGCCCGGCCTCAATAATGTACTACAGCTTTTAGGAAGGGGGACGGCCAGTGGCCACTGCCGGCTCGTCGGGGCTCGCGGCGACGCGCATGCACAACAAAGGAGGGCAAAAGGTGTGCGGCAATGGACGCGACCGGCGTGAATGGCCGGCGTGTGCTGCCTGCGCGTTCGAGCGCACGACGCCGGCGTCCAGGCAGCTGGTGATGTAGTCAAATGGAAGCGATTGCCGGCGGCACCTGTAGCCACATCAACGGTGGATCCGCAGCGCGGTGCAGGCTAGATACAGACTGGACGCCATCATGAACACACTTACTGGTGCGGAGCAGAGTGTACTTAAAATGATAGCAGAGTTCAAAGCGATCATGGCTGGCTTATTTTGGAAGCGTCAGGTGCCGCGGTGATCAGTCAAAGGCCGGCTCACGCATGGCCGGGCCGCCTGACTTCCGAGACCGATTACCGGCCGGGCCACGTGTGAGTCGGGCTTTACGTGCTGTGGTGATGTCTGCTAGCGTCAGTTAAACCTATTCCCACCTGGGATTAATCGCCCACACTCGGTGTCTTCATAGTCGTGTGGCAAACCATATCAGCGTTTTGAGCTTTGTGTGCTTCGAGTGTGAAGTGAAAGGTAAATAAGCCACCCAACGCTGTTTATAAGGACAGTGTGTTGAAATCTTATGAATTTTCCGAAGCAACTAAACAGTATTGGATAGCCTGAATTTTTTCTAGCTCCCGTCTTGAAGCTGGCATGACAACAAGGAGTGTTTTTGAAAAGGGATATGCCTCTAGCCGCAGCTGCCTCCGTTCCCCACAACTGCTCTACCACGATCCTTTGGACAGAAATTGTCCACCACTTTCATACCTCTCTGGGTCACTACAGTCCCGTCCCCGCCCCTCTCCCGTTTGACTACAGATATGCCCAAAGAAACTAAACTCACACAACGCAAAGCGCCTCCATGTTATGGAACGATCTGCCCTTTGACCTCTCCTCCTCATCTCAAGAATTCTATAGAGCCTCGCTTGTGCTGCTTAGGTTTCGGCTATTTACGATGTATAGGAACTGTCAAGAGCGGATCGAAAAACAATACGGGGTAAGGGATAAGGAGAACATAGGCGTTGGTTAACTTTGACTACACAAATTAACACTCTATACTAACCCCTGTCACCTGTCCTGAAAGTGACTAACATATCTTTGCAAAGATCAGGGAGAGCTTTATGTCTTTAGGGATTCCAGGTGCTTACAAAAAGCGATACTGGAAGCGATTCTTGTGTACGGTTTTGACTTCTGGTATGTTTTGGTAAATATGTTTTGGAAAAGGAGGAGAACACGCTTCTTAGCAGAGTTAGTATTTTAAGCCATTCCATGGCAAAGGAGGAATGTGTTGTTAGTAGGTTTCTACCGGGGCCAAATTTAGCTTGACTTCACACTTCTGCAGCCCAATAACTTAACATCCCTGCAACCGCCACTAACATAAGACAGCTTATAGATATCAGCAATCATTGTGTATGAATCTACGGATGAAATACAGAACTAACTATGCCATGTAGATCAGTGGTCCTCACCACAGGCTATCTTTCCTTTCCTGTTGCACCACTGACACCAGTTTCAAAAAACTGTGTAAGGTAAAAGACAGTCTACGTCCCGGTGGTTTATCAAGCTCTCGTGCAGCAAGATCAGCCCAGTAGTGTTCGAAATCCCAGAGAAGTTAATTGACTTTCGCCTGGAGTTCAAGCTAAATTCAACGCAAACAGATGAGATGAAGCAGAGACCTGATCAGTATCATTGCATGCACCACACCAACACTAGCACCGCCGTTGGCACAGCCACTGAACACACCAGAACAGATCAGACCGGTCTTGACCAGCCAGGCTGCCCCCTGGCATTTACAGCTGCCAGCGATGTCCAGCCATCGAGTCCGGCGTCTGTCGGCTGTTGGTATTGACCGACCAGGCCATAGCCAAACGGATGACCTTCACGCTCGTTGAGAGCGGTCCGCAGAACGGGCGCGGCCAAGCCGTGTCGCTGCGGCCGCGCTGCTGGGGCACGGCTACGGCGGCGGCATGCTGTCACAGCGGGCCCAAAGCAGGCCGTCAGATACGGGGGCAAGTGGACCAACAGGTATTAGGCTGCGATGAATATTCTAGCCGACAGTCTTAACAATGCCAGCGGACGCTTCCTCCAGCCCCTCCATTTATAGTTTTTGGGCTGTCCTCTGGACAAATTACTGTCACAGCAACAAAAATTATGCATATTGAGCCGTTATTCCTCCAGTTCCAGCGCCATATTGCAGCACCAGGTTGCGGTGCTGCGAATACTAGTCCGTTCCTATAATCTATGTACAAATTGCACTGGTGAAACATCCTCCAGAACTGCTTTCTAAGCGTATGAACTGGCATCCTTAAGTGCTCAAAAGTACTTATTTCAGATGCGTCATTATTTTCGTCCATCAGTTGGCCAATTAGCAGTTCGAATTATTCGCGGGGCAGACACCGCGCGGCTTACGGAGACAGCGACGCCGAAAATCTTTGTTTCGCCTGTAACACGTGCGAACGCACATGTCCAGAACTATGTCAATTGTTCCACTAATCGATTCTGACTGAAGGCTGAACATTTCAAGACGAACATGGGCTGACCCTGTTGATATAAATTTTTGACCCCATTTCGATCTAAAGTCAACGTTCACGGGGTCTTAAATTATCCGTGGAACCGAAAAAACACCGGACCACGCCTCTAAATTTGTCTAGGAGGAGGGGGTTTAGCGGTTTAGCAAAATACCACTTTATCGACGTCATATGAATAGCGCTGGTGTTCTGTTCCACGCAGCCATTTAACACCCGCTTCCTTCAGTTTATTGACTCCAAAATGCAGACTTGCATCTCCCGTAGATTTGCTAGCTTGTTCAGGTTAAAAAGTTAAGCTGCGAAACATAATGTTAGTCGCGGGGCGTCGGTCCTGCAGCTATTATCAGGCTACGACCAACGAGTAGACAAAAACGACCACACAGCAACTGAAATGAGTGCTTTTGAAAGCTTTATAACATCAATTTGTACTCTTAATAGATACTTCTGGTGTACATTTCACCTAAACAATTTTTTATATTGATAGTAGGAAAAAAGACTACTTGCTGGTGCTGGAATCGGATTGTGGAACTGAAAACGTAAGGACAAATTGCCCTTTTTCGTGTTCCTGTAACTATCAGTCTGTTCAGAGCATAACCTCCCAGTAAGAAAGAGAAACAAACGCCCAAGTTTACTCTTTGAACGGTGCTAATCGACCTCTCATGACATGCATGAGATACTCATGAGACCCCTTACCTTTTTCTGGGCAGGGAGCCATGTGGGAAGATAACTAGGCGCACACCAACGTCTCCGGCCAATGGCTGAAAGGCCATTCCGTCCCAGCACCGGGCGCCTACCGGCTGCCATTCCGACGGCAAGGGAGCGGGGTCCCCTGGTCGAGTCAGAGGACCTCAGAGAAATGCGCCAAACATTACCCCCCCCCCCACCACCACTGACGCGGGGTATTCTGATCTACGTAGATGGCCCGGGATCGACGCAGGGATTGTCATTGACGTAACAAGATCTCCTATTGGTACAGGTGGCTCAATGAGTGGCAATTATACTCCGGTTCGGCTTAACGGCCGCATGGTTGGAATCGGGTTGTGGGGTCCCATTTCGGTACCGGGGCCCTGACTGACACAGGACATTTCATTCACTCAATGTGGAGTTTATTCATGAGCACTCATATCCCTTTTATTGCCAGAGGGCCGTGTCAAGGGACCAAAGCAAGAGGCCCCCCGGCATTCGAGGTACCGTCCTGTCCCTGTTCCGAGCAAATGATCCCCTGGTCGACTCAGAACCTCTTACCGACACAGAGATACGACTCTCATTGTTGCAAGGGCCCAACCAGTGGAAATTGCTGACCCTGGCCTTGTTGTTGCTTGGAAAACGGGCCTTCCGGGTAAAAACCGGCACGGAGCCAACCGCTCAGTGTTAGAGGTGTCTGAACAAAATAGAGGCCTGCATTGTCTCAGGGTTTATCAATCGGTGCAAGAGGCCATCCGACTGATATATGAGCTCACAGTCATGCTGGATTGGATCCTAAATGTTACCTGCCGCCAGCCATTCGGACCCTCTGGGCCCATGAACGGTCCAATTGGGCCCTTTATCGTCGGTCCCGGGGACCCTTCGTCGTCGGTCCCGAGGGTCTTTCATCGTTGGTCTTGGGGCACCTCACCATCGGTCCCGGGGACCTTCGGGCCCTCTTCAGGATTCCTCGAACATTGTCTCTAGCTGACTTAGAGCCCCTTGCCAACACAAGACCCTTGTCAGGCAATGTGGCCTCTGGCCGACACAGGGGCCCCTCAGTGACTTCGCGGCCGGACGAATGTTGGGGATCCTGGCCTTGTGCCCGCTTAGGAAATTGGCCCTCTGGCCTAGACAGACAAGGAGCAGATTGTTTGGCACTGGTGGTGCCTGACCGATATAAGGGCCGTTATCGACTCAGGGGACCTCAATCTGCGCAAAGGGCCCACTGACTGGACAATTGAGCCCCCAGCCCTGCGGTCCAGCCCTTTAAGGAAAACTCTGGTCAGCTTTGCGGACACTAAAATCGGACCCTTAATCGTCGGTGCAGAGAGACCCTGCGGCCCCTTCAGATCAAAATGTAATCTTGCCCTTTGTGTCCGCTGCCTGCACCACTGCCGCTGCGCACCTGTAATGGACTTGCTCTATAACATTTTTAATTTTTTGAACAAATATGGCAGACATTGTTGTATGGCTTGATATATAATATTTTGACATTCCATTTTTTTAAATAAATTTGGCGAAATGACATCAGTGATTCTTCCTGAAAGCAGTGTACCGTACCGGATAAATCGCCTAATCAGCTTTTTCATAGCCTTCACTCTTATTGTCAGGCAGCTGTTTGCCGT